CATGCTTCAATGGCCTTGGCAATGATTCAAATTACATGCCGATATAAAGTACTTGAGGTTTTTGTGATCTGTATATACAATGACTAGACTCAAAGCATCTTCTAGATAATGACACCATTTTAAAAATGAATCCACAATTGTAAGAAGCTCTTTGATATAGATATCATAATTAATCTTAATTGCTGAATTTTTTTTGAAATAGAAAGCTACCGGTTGGAGCTTATCATTTGCTCTCATTTGTAACAAAATAACATTGATAAGAAAGTCTAATGTGTCTATTTTTATGAAGAATGCCTTTAAAAAATCAATATAATATAAGATTGGTATAGAAATAAATGCTATCTTTAAGGTTTCAAAAGATGCTTGAATTTCATTGCTCTACTTAAGTTTGCCTTCACATGTCAAAGATATAAGAGGAGCTACCACTTGAAATAAGTTTTTGATGAAGATTCAATAATAATTGGCAAATACCAAAAAATATTACACATCTCTGATTATTTTTGATATCTTCTAATTCATGATAGTCTAAATCTTTTTAAGATCCATCATAAGACCATTGTTTGAGATAAAAAGGCATGACATTATATTCAAAATACCCATATCTAGTTCAAAAAATAACTTTTCATTCATTCATTTTTTATTTTATTTTTACTTTATTTTTTTATGCAGATTAGATTATATGCTCTTTGTAGATCTATTTTTTTTTATAGATCTTTGCTTAATTAAATTGATCAAAAAGTCCTAAAATCAAAGTTAAAGGATACTTACTTTTGATGGTAATCTTCTTAAGTATTTAATAATCTATCCACATCTATACAAATCTATCTTATTTGAGGAACTCTTCTTAGAAATTTTGAATAGCATATGAATTTTTTAGTCAAATTTTTATTAATATATTCTTTTAGTACAACCAATTCATTCTGCAATAAATTGTAGATTGATTCAAATGGTGGTTGAGCTCTTTCTTGTAGATTAGTTGAACAATCATAAGGTCAATGCTCTGAAAAAATATCTATATTCTTCTTTTCAAATACATCCTAGAAATCTTGATATTGACTAGGAATACTACTTGACGTCTTTTCACCATCAAAAATAGACATGGTACATATAACAAAAATTGATCATTCTTTTGCGGCATGCATGAAAGCTCTTACACTTACTAATAAAGATTTGCATGTACTAGACTTATGTATTTTTACTTGACTAATGAGATTTTAGATTAAACTATCAAAAAAATTTAAATTACAAAAAATCCAATCTATTTGAAAGTTGTATTTTTTTAACCACAATAATCTTATAATAATCAAATTGAAGAGAGATCTTATCATATTAAATATTACTATGCTATTATGACTTTTAATTGTTATATCTAAAAAAACAATTTGATGGTAATATCTCTAAAAGACAACAAACAATCATCTATGACTTCTACATTTATAGGTTTAGTTTTTTTGACTAAAGATATTTCTTATTTTTTGACAAAGTCTTCATCTATAAAATAGACTAAAGCTCCTAAATCTAATAATGTAAAGACTTTATCAATTTTAGATCTTAAATACATATCTATTATAAAACCAAGTAATGGATTTGAACAAAGAATAGGACCTATGTTAAGTGTTGTACATGATTCCAGTTGCACAATTCCTATTGTAGGTAGAGAAACTTATTTTTTGATATATTGTCTTCTTTGGCAATTGTACTTTTTATTTTGTAATTGAGTTATTTTTTTAGAAAATATGAAGTAGTGTGCTTAGCTTCTCTACAATATAAATACAAACCTTCTTGATGACATCAAATCTTTTCCTGCTTCGTCAAGGATTTAAAATGTATCATATCAATTTTGTCTTTTCTTCCTTTGTCAGGGATTTAAAACATATCATATCAATTTTTTTTTTCTTGCATTAATAGTAAATATTTGATATTATCTTCAATCTATATTAAAATTGATTGATAAAGACTTTGTCATTCTAGTCCATGTTACAAGTGATGTTTTGGAATTCAACAACGTATATAGTTGTTGATTGTAATCATTGTTGTAAAGATAAGAGCTTGGTCTCTACTATTCTTTCTTAATCACTTTCTCTAAATAAAGCTCTAAACATTTTTATGAATGAATTCAAATCATAAAAGAGTCATGAATCCTTTTCTATCAAAGGTGCAAACAAAGAGAGAATAATTTTAGATAGAAATGCGCCTATAAATCCAACTTGAATAAATCCATCAAGATATTGGAAGGGATGCAACTTTAAATACAGCTTAACTTATTGCAAAAATCATCAAAATTTTAAACTTATTCCATCAAACTTCTTAGGCATACTAATCCTTTTCCTTGTCATACTTGTAAAAACAAAACTTCTTTGATTTTGTTGTGAGATCAATCTATTTACTTCTTTCAACTGCATAACTTCTTGACGTTGAATATAAACGTCTTTTATAGGCATAAGATTAATATTTTTGTAGTTGGCATTGGTGATGCATAAAATTTCTACCTTAATAGTGTTAATAAGTTCATGAAGATCTACAATATTTGCAAATCTATTCTTACTTTTGCTAAGTGTAGCATCCATGATTTTTTCCTTTATTTCTAAGAACTCAACAAATCCATGAGTCAAATTAGATGAGGGTAGTTGCAATCTCTAATATCAAATAGAAATTTCTACAAAGAAAGATAATCTACTTTTTTTTAAGAAAAAAAAATTAATATTAGAAAACTAAACAGTTTGTTTAAAGGTAGATAATCTATGACCTTCATAATACAATAATAAAAATGAGATAATCCACTTACTTCTAAATCAAGACAAGACTAATAAATTAGTATTCTTGTCAAGCTATCAAGGATATGAATTTCAAAGAAAGAAAAACTCAATATATTCTTATGTCACTTGAAAAGTCTAAGAAATTACTAATAGATGATAATTTATTAAACTAGAATGGCTATTGCCAAAGACAAGAAGATTAAAAAGTCTTGAAATAAGAGTAAGAACTAGAAAGGTATTGACAAGAATAAAGAAGGCTTGATTCTTACTTCTATATATACTATCTAACTAAGAGCTAAATGGTAATGTTTTATAGGACCTCTAATACATGTTTACTTTATTAAATACATATCTTAATTTGCAAGTCAAGTTTTCTATATGTATGCCACATAATTAGCTTGTTTCACAAGCTATCAACAAGTATGGTACGTGGTTAACTTGTTGACTAAGTTTTTAATCTACTAATCAACTACAAATACGTGTAAAGTCGAGATTGTGTCTATGAAGCTTTTACAAAGCTTTTCTAGAAGATATTATAAAATTAATCTACATTTACCTACTTCTATTTAATTATATAAGTAATTATTGGAATAAATACATATATTTGTGACAGATGTACATTGATTTTACTAATCAACTTTATAAACCTAGCTAAATTCTTTAAGAACTTACAAACATCTTATTGGAATTTGTGTAGCAATTGTCTTCAAAGATAGAATCAACCATTCCATTATTCAAATCCATTGGTTATTCTTAAGATTCAATGATTAATAGGAAGATAAAATATTGACTTTCATAATACAACTAATTCTTTAGTTTATATATATATATATATATATATATATATATATAATAGCTAATGATATAGATAAACTAATTAATACAATAAGCCCTAGTGTTTTTTTCAAATAAATTTTGATATCTTTAGGTGCTCTAAGGATAAGTCAAGTATAAAAAAGAGATACTATTGGATTTTATTTATTATTTTTTCTAGCCAAATCTTATGTTTTTTAATTTTTTTGATCCTAATAAGTTAATATAAAAAAATATACCAACTATAATTAGATTTTCTATAAAAAAACCTAATAACTTAATTATTAATAGAATATATAAGATTTTTAAAAGATAGAAGTGAGTTTTTTTTTTTAAAAAAAAAAAGTAATTTTGTGTTTATTAACTTACACTAAATACAGCCTTAATACAAAGAAGGACATTTTAATTTTTGTTTAATTTTGATATAAAAAGAGCCACAATACTAGAATATTATTAGTTTATATGAAGGAGTAGGTTGCTTTTAGAATATATTAGATATTTATTGATTTATTTTATATATATATATATATATATATATATATATATATATACACATATATATATACACATATATATAGAAATATACAAATAAAAGAATTGTTGATTAGTAGATTGAGATTTTTTTCTACTTTACCACTTTTGCATTTTAAACTAATCATATCAAATTTAACTAGCTAATATTTACAATAAATTTCATAGCTATCTACACTATTCAAAATCACTTTCCTTCTAGATATATTTTTTTAAATTATATCAAATAGGATATATATATATATATATATATATATTACAACTTCACATTACATATGTGTATGTTCTTTTTTCCACTTCTAAAGTAGTTATAGTATTGTAAAGCCTCAAAAGTTGTAATGTTAACAACACTAATATGTGTGCAATGCCACAAAATATAGTATGTATATATATATATTTATACATATAAATTAGTCAAAATACTTACAAAAATTTATTACATTTGCATTGGTTTATGATACATAATTTAGTGATATGATAATAAGATAAGAAGGTATTATAATTTATTTTAAATATATTATCCAAAATCTAATTTTAACCTATCAACAATGTTAAATTTTTACATGTATTATAATAGAGATTTTGAGAGATTAATATGACTATCTTTTATTTCACATTGAAAAGCTAAATTTTCCATACAGTTAAAACTAAATCCAACAATGAGCAACCACATGTAATTTAAATGAATTTTCAAACACCACTAACAGCTGTGCAAAAATGCCCACACCCACATTTGTACTCAAAATTAGATCTTGATGTGTTGAGAACTGAACGAAGTGCTTTCAAGCAAGTAATTCACAAAAAATGCCTAGAAATGGGTGTTCGAGAAAGAAAAGATGGAAAGAACGAATCCAGACAAGCAAAATTGGAATGTGTTTCATGAAAATGGGGATTCATGCCTTCATTCTTGCCTTCTGCTGAGAAGCAGATAAGTATCTCCGTTCTCTACTCGCTCGCTGGCTGGATTCCCACGAGTAGCAGCAGCGTAGGAATTTGGTGGTCATGCAGGTTACGCTGCTGATTTGTGCCTTGAGCGAGGCATTTTGGATGTGGGTTTTCGTAGAATCCCCCTGGCACGACTGCAGGTGCGGCGGAGGCTTGGATTGAGTTCGTAGCTGTCCCCAGAACCCACCTGCAGGTTTTGTGTTAAGGAAGCCCGACTGTTGTTGTCCGATACTACTCACGGGAGGCTGCTCTGAGAGCTCTCGTGGACCAATTTAGTCGCGCCGTTGTTGTAGCTTCGAGAGGATTAATCGTCATGGCTTCGTCTTTGTGCTCGAAGTCAGTTTCGGGGTTTTTGAACTCGACCACTTCCACTCTGCTGCCGAATTCTGGGAACTTGACTCTGCAGAAAGCTTGTCACGGGTTGCAGCTTCAGACTCGGGTGGGAGTGTACGAGACGCAACGACACTCTCCTGGTGAGCTTGGTTGACGCATTTGAATCGAATTCTTTCGCGAATTTGGGGAATCTGCTGCAGTTTCTCCTGCAATAATGCGTTTGAGTTACTCTTACACTGTTTTAAAATGTGCCCGTAGTTTCGTTGGTCAATTTCAATTTTATCCCAAGCACGTCATGTCAAGGTTTAGGGTTTATTGTATCTTGGATAGTTGTATGACTCTTAGTTGAAATTTGTGTTTGATTTCTACATTGCAATCCATCTTCAAGCATTTTGTCTCTGTTGAAGCTATCCCCGCCTTGCTAGTGATGAGTCTAGTATCAATTTGCGTAAACGTGAGGAATTGCTCAATTGTCTCCTGCTCTTGCATTTTGAGTTGATAAGACGGCGTTGTCTGCGTGGTTTGTGAGGTTTGCAGTTCGATAAATCGACACATCTTAAAACATGCCTTGACTCACCGTTTTTGGATTTGCAGGGAAGACGTGTCTTAAATGCACCGCCGGTTTGCATATGCAGGACGGGTCCTCATTGCCAAAGAATCCTCGTAGACGCCCTCCTAGTGAGGATGTTCGGAGAAAGGATACCGAGCCAAAGCTTCATCGTGGTTGGTATCCGGGTCAGAGAACGCAGCCTCCACCTGAAGGCAATACTCCCGCAGAGAAAGATAGCGAAGCGACTGAGCTTCCTTTCCTTCGAAAGCTTATATCAAATGACGAGACGCCTACAAGAACTCAACATTACAGACGGCCAAAGAGCAGTCAACCTAGTGCAGGCCAAAGGAGGGAATTTTTGTTTGATGCGGAGGATAACGACGAATTTCTCAGTGATGGGGAAGAAGATAGTGATGATGAGGAGGACGGACACTTTGAAGATGTGGAGGACAGACACTTTGAAGATGTAGAAGTCGACCAATTCGTAGCCGAACGTAGGGCTGCTCATTATTTAGGCAACCCAGACACAGATCTAAATTGTAAACACTTCTCCAGGTATTCTCTTTTGCAGAAGCTTGCAGGCGGGAAATTATTGTAGGATCGAGACGTCTTCCACAGGGTGTATTTCATTTTTTTCATTCATCTTGAGCACATCGTATTATTGTCTTTCCCTCAATTGATGTATTACTGCGGTTAACTAAAGTTTGACGAAAGGGGAAATGGCCTTGTGAAATAGCGTTTAGATATTCTTATGCCAAATCGATGCCAGGTGATCATTGTTCACTTTGAGGGTTGGGGTTTCAGGTGCTCTGGCTGTGTAATAGATGTGTCTCTAGACCAGCCTCCTGTAATGAACGAAGCAAGAGCATATTTTGCTGGCCGTGGTGTACCAAGCTTTTCCCTTGCATCAGGATCTCTGGTATTAAGTTTATTCTTCTTTGGATTGGATGCTGAATTTTGCTGCATTTTCCAGAGTCGATAGTTTTGTATTCCTTCAATGGCTTGTCAGCTATTATATTGCTTGTTAAGTTCTCGTCTTTTTTGCTGAAATTTCTATCTAAACTCTGTTTTTCTCAAATGAGTGGAATTGTTTCCTTTATATTGCTTTCAAGTCGTGTGCAGTCTGAAAAGATTTTGCTCACAGTCAGATCACAATGGCGGGGGGTTTGGCATGCAGGTTGAGTGGAGGTGTCGAGCTAAATTGGCAGTGCGTGGCACTGCAGAAAATCCTCAAATAGGACTTTTTGAAGAAGGAACTCATTCAATTGTTGACATTCCGTCCTGTCGCAGTACGTCCTAATGCTGTGCTTTGTGTTGTGATCTACAAATTGTTTTCAGATCATATTGTGGGAGAAACGTTCTTCCGTGTTGTATTTGTTATGGCACTTAGATTATCCCATTGTTGTCCCTGCGATGATATGAATTACTCCTCGGGTGAGGAGCTGTATTGTAGCTTGACATGTTCCATGGATAGTCCACGAAAAAGTTATATGGTTGTCGGTGTTGTCGTGTGGTCTGTTTCAAGCATTTTCAGCAGAATGTCTGTCATTGTTGTTATCATCAGTTATGTACTCAGAATTATGTTGGGTTGGTTATGGTGTTTCAGCCCATCATCCTAGCATTAATGATGCTGTGAAGCTTGTGAAACAAGGTATGTTTCAATCTTCCTGTTTCTCTTATGTCTTAAACTTGAAATTTTTGCAGGACGCCAGAGTTAGAGGGGTTAGTATTTAATATTCTGTCCTGTACATCTTGAAACACTCTTTCTCTGAAGCAAAATAAATAAATCGGATATTATGGTGGTTTGTTTTGTTCTCGATTGGAGGTCACGTATTTAACTATATGCATTGTATGGTCTTCAGCAATACGGGATCTTGGAGTTCAACCATATGACGAAAATAGGCACACTGGTGAACTCCGCTATGTCCAGGCAATTCTCTACATTGCTTCCCAGCTTCTCTAATTTGCACTTGTTATTCTGATTATTCTATTAGCCGTGGTAATGACCCAATCTGTACAACTGAATCAACCAACCTCTACACTGTTGCATATATGAACTGTGACTTGTGCAGATGGTGGTAACAACCTTGAACACCTCTATACCTGTGGAAGAGCGATATGCTCGAGGTGAGCACTTAATATATTCCTTTCTGTAGAATCCACGTCTTTATATGCGCTTCAAGTAAATTATAATTTGGATGAAGAATCTGGTGTAATAACCATTTATGGAGTACGTTAAGTCTTGCTAGACATTTAAGCAACTCAGTAGGTATGTCCTATATGCATTACTTAGTTTTGTAGTATCTAATCTCTAGTAAAAGTCCATGTTTCAAAAATTTGAAATTGGCAGTTTGATCTATTGGTTTCTTTTGTCCCTGCTACTTTGACTCATATTTATTAATTAAGTAATCCCTTTGAATAAGAGGTTTAGTCCATAGCATACTAGAAACGTATTTTGTGTGTATGTAACTTGATTCTCAACTCCCTGTCAATCGTTGGCATAAAAAGAATCAATAATTATCGTTTAATAGCTGATTAAGAACGACCTGATCTTTTTGTCAGGTAAAGTGCAAATATCTCTGGTCTGGAATGCAAGAGATAGTGACTCTGTCCAAGATGACAAATTGCGCAAAATGGCTGAGGTGATCCATATGTTTTACTTCTCATCTACTCGAGGTTTCCGTGTCAATTTTCCCGTTGTCTGCTGAAGGACTCTCATTGTTGTTGTCGTATATACCATCGTTATCTGACGATAATGGCTTTATTGTTTTTCATACGATCGCAGATGATATGGAGGAGGGGTAACTCGAAGGCAGACCTTCCCATCGTACACTCAGTGTGGGCCAACTTTCAGACCTCACGCACCAATGTACTACACATTTTCCCTTACTGGGTGATCGTCTTGTTCAAGTATTGTAATCGGCGGGAATCTTAGTTTTGTTTTTTTGAAATTCTTGTGGCTTACGGTTTGCAGCTTCGAGTACTCAATTAACGCACTTCTAGGCATTTAATGTCGTGAAGAAGTTATTCAAGAGGTATATCGAATTGATATATTTGCCAGTGAGCATTAACTGCCATAACACTTGGGATTATGTGTTTGTTTCATTATATGTGTGCTGGATGCCTTATTCCACATGGTCGTTGACGTCACCTGACCAGGTAATTCTTGGTGGACGTTGGAGACATTTAATGGGAGAGTCCGAACTCTGGGAGCGTGTTGGAGGTGTCGATATCGCTTTTACACCAGCTAGCTTCGGCCAAGCCAATACTCAGGTCCTTTTTTTTCTTACCTGGTTAAATTTATGTCTTCACCCCTGGTCCATATTTGCTAGTGATTTGTCTTCACTCCCGATCATAAATCGATAGGATGATCCCTGCAATATTATGAGAACTTTTCATGTGGAGGATTTTACTGTAGAAGGGTCTTTCGGTGATCATCGTTTTTTGCAGGCATTTGAAGCGTTGCTGAGGAGGATGCAGAAGGTAGTTAAAGTAGGAAGTAGGGTGGTGGAGCTTTATGCAGGCGTTGGCGCCATTGGTCTAAGCTTGGCTGCTACTCGAAAATGCAGGTGATTCCTTCTAACCAACTGATCAGACTTTGCTGTCCTTGTCTAAGATTTTTTGCAACCTATCAAAATTTCGACCATACATCTAGGGAGCATCAAGTTGAGATATTAGCACGCGCTTACTAGCCTTGTGTCGTTAATTGTCTGTCGAAACTCAAGCCGATATGTCAATCGGATTGAGATTCGTTTCTCTGAGAATGTTTGGACACAATGCGCAGGGTTGTAAAATGTGTGGAAGTGAACAAAGAAGCTAAGCCGGTTTTTGAGAGATCTTTGACTCGACTTCCCCCCTCTGTTAATGCCGAAATCAGTTGGCATTGTGCTGATGTCTCTGTGGTAAGTGTTTTGAGTTCTATTTTATGGAATTATTGTTTTCTAGGTTGAATTCATTGCCTTGGATTTTCTGTATTTGAATGTGTGTTTGAATGAGACCTATTCTGACCCAAAATTCTTGTTAAATGTGACGGCAGTCACCCATTAACTGGTTAGAGGGTTCAGACGTCGTAATCGTGGATCCACCTAGAAAAGGTCTTGATCTACCCGTTGTAGAAGCCTTGCGACTCGCTGCATTTCGAGGACTTGGCAAGAAGAAAGCACCCTCTTCAAAAACTACTGAAAAGTATGGATGCTATTCATTAGATGCATACGTATGGTTGTGAGATGTTCGGAATCTGTTGTAATGACGATGAACTGATTTCAATCTAATATCAGATAAATGATGCTATTGAAAACTTTTGAACGTACAGCGTGGATACAAGCTCGGACTGGATTCCACGATGTGGTCGACGATCTATTTCAGTAACATAGCATAACAGTTGGCCCTGTAATAAGTTCTTTTAGAGGCTTATCTAGTTACGTGATTTATGCAGGGTTGAAAAGCGGCCTTGGATAGTTCGAGCAAAGCAAAGTGGTGTACATAAGGAAGGTACATTAGACTGGGAAGAGGACGACGGTGTGTGGCCTGGCACACTCATTTATGTCAGCTGCGGATGGCAAGCGTTTAAGCTGGTACGAGGACTATAGACTAGCCTTGCATATGTTAAAAGTTATCCTGCTGAAAGACATGGACTTGTGAATTTGTACATTCATGTTTGAGCAAGTGCTGAAATACAGTAAATCTTTCTGGAACTCTTTCGTATTAGAGATATGTTTTCTTCAGTATGATTTGGGTATTTAGTAGAGATAAACTATCGCATTAATTATGTCGCGATAGCTCCAAGTTTTATGTTGAGAAAAGTTAGTAATACGAAGGGTTTAGTTTCTTGATTTAAAGACTGAAAGTTGAAATTTTGTATGTTGTAGGATCATGATGCTCTTGTCGAAGGAAACGCGTGGCACCTAGACACAGCGCATGCGTTTAATTTCTTCCCGGGAACAAACAGGTGGAGTATCCCAATTCAACAATTCTCTGTAGTCCGTGTATTCATGCTGTTGTTATTTCACGCTCTAGTGTGGCAATTTGATTAAGATAGCTACACCATTTGCTTTTCTCTTAGTTTTTGTATGGGTTTTACAGCATTGAAATACTGGCGGTTTTCAAGCGTGGGAAGAAGCTGCCCAAGAAGCCCGTCAAAGTGAAGAAAGGGTCAGGAGTGCGGTCAAGTTCAGCAAAGAGTTTGAGGTTTACCAAGGCAGGCACAAGATTAGCCCATCTTAACGAGAAACTAGGGAATCCTTAAGTAGTTTATAAATTGGAAATTTGAGGGCAATTAAAAACGATGCAATATAGGATTTACTTCCATTTCCTGAATCTCGTTCATGGTTCTGCAGTTCCAGGATTTGGATTCGAGATGGGTTGTAAATTGCCTTCTCCTGTAACGTTTTAGTATTCACATCAGAATTTTCTCTTTGTCCACGCTATATTTATTTTTTCTAGAGGTTAAACGCAGGATTTAGAAATGAAAATTTTAGCATATTTTGCTAGTTTCATCACCAAGGTGCTAAAAAAATCTAGCTTTGAATTCTTAATGTGACTATTTGACATGATCCTACCACTGGCATCAAGACGTGTGTCACTTGTATACTTGAGTATGCAGATAGTTTATATTGGATTCTTTTCAATACTTTGGGAAATGGGAAGAAATTTGCAAAACCAATGGAGGTCCAATTCTTTCCAAAATCAATCAGTTGCCTTTGCTTCAGTTCTGCAACTTCCAAAGCTCCCTTGAACACCTGAAACTATGGTGGAAATTTAACGTCTTTGAGTCTCAGAATAAGTAGAATTAAACAGGTGAAGTCGTAGCAGAACTATATTTAATCTAACTACCAGACATGTACATCGAGGGGTTTGTCAAAGACCTAACCTAGTCCGATATTATGGAGGTCATAGAAGTCGAGATTTGTGGAGAGAACTCTTACATAAAATTAACCGAAAACTCTTTCTCTGCTACGGAAATAAGATAACTAAAGTTAGTGGTGTCAATAGACACTGCCTACAAACCTGAACGGATGACGCGAACAACCTCGGAGCCTCCAGTGTCCATAAATGCGAATCTCATTCTGTTCACCAGGTCTTCACATACTTCGTTCAGCGAGCTCTAAAGCTGCAAGTTTCTAATCATTCATCCAAATGGACAGTCTTCGTCCCAAAGACGAATGAAAAGAGCGCAAGTGATGACGATGTGAGAGAAAAGATGAATGACCCGAAATGCTTTATCATTGTTATGAGACAAGTTTTCTCAAGGGGCGATCATTTTCCTCGCCAATGTTGCTTTTCTCCGTGAATCCTCAACGATGGAAGGTCTCTCTAATCCTCAATTGATCTTGGCTGGAAGGATATCCTCATTTGTTTTGTTTGAACTGGTCCTCCAGCTCATGATTAGCTATTGAAACTCTCTCGCTTTGAGGTGTAATGCGTCTGTCAAGGCTGCAACGCCGTCACTATACGGCGTTTCTTCTTCATGCCATGACGAAGTTGGTAAGTCCCCGAAGTGAATAGCAGTTGCGTTATTTTTCACTAATTTTGCTGATATATATATATATTTTTTTTTTTTTTTTTTTTTTGTCTTAATGCTTTGCTACTTTAACCTCAAGATTTACAAGCTCACGATATTGTGCGAGCTTTGAGTGGGCTTCCTGAGTGTTAGAGAAGATAGCTACATTTCCACATGGATAGCGTCAACCATTAATTTTCGTTTCCTGTATGCGTTCGACTCTTTTCACATTTCTTGCAGAATTAGACACCTAAAAATCACTCGATCCGTACGCAGACATTCAAGCCACATAATATGACCAAATATTGCGCAATCAGATTCTTCCACGAGCGATACTTGCCATGCCTTGAAAGGTAGTACTAGAAAGAATATTTCCTGCTGCCTCCACGTAAATGACTTGCTTTAGAACGAACCGCTGATGCCCTTGTACTCGTGAATGAGAAGGAAACTGCGGAGGAGCTTTCCAGATGAAACTAGTGTTCAATTCCATAGCCTTCTCTCGCTTTGGATCGCAAGCAAGGTAGTCTGGAAGGCTTACGACATGTATTTTCACTTCTTGCTGAGAGTCAGTGAATGCTTGCGGCCTGGTTCTTGGAGATGTACAGAATTTTTGTAAAACACAGGACCACACTGAATTACGATGATTTCGTCATTTTGAAATCTTCTCTGAATGCTGCTGTGGTACATTTTGTGATGAGTATCCAAATTGACTTTTGATGTTCGATGTCATGCACAGTTACATGAGACGCCACCTTTATCAATCAGAAAACTTCAAAATATCGCCAAAAAGCTTATCCCGGATCATTACTATACGAAAAAAGACTTCATAGATGCGGTCAGTTCGCACATTCCTATTCAAAATCAGAAACAGGTTGAGAGTTCTTCTCATCTGGTTACAAACTTGGTAACTGACGGATATAATGCTTGGCAGCATAGATTAGACATTCGTGCAATCAGTCTGTTCTTGCATACCTTGTAGTGATTTTTGTGCATTACCAAGACAACAGTTAGTCGGGCTGGAAAACTCACCAATCTTGAAATGCAGCCTTAATCCTGGACAGTGCTACGCTCTGTCGCAAAATTATTGTATTGCGCGAAGAGATAAGACTAATGCTAAGACAGTGCAATAGAGATCGGATCTGTAATTTTAATCTTCTTGTGATTTCTGCTATTTATGGAGCGCTGCGGAATTAACAAGAATCTGTAGTAGTCAAAACTGCTGAAGACATGTATGTATGTGTGCGTATATGTATTAACACTTTGATTTTATTGTTATTTCCTGCTTGCAGGAAATTAAATTTCTAGAGGTACGATCTTCACAATGCATTCATGAATTTGCCTCACAACAAATGAAATTCCCCGTGAGATACTTCTTAAAGCGGGTGACAATTGTTCTCTGAAGCCATGCTTGTTGCTTGTCTAATATGTTGGAATGTACCTTATAAATGTCCAGGCAATCGATTTTGACCTTAAGACCGGACCTCTTTTGAGCACGTACATTGAAGAGCTTCTGAGTGAAATCAGGTTAGTGCTGTATTGCAGAGAACGCGTGAAACCAAGGTCGCTCATTTTCAAAATCAGTTTGCTTGATACAAAGTTGAACCATCAATAATGCTTTACCAGGTCGAGCAACTCAGTGCGGCCCTCTGACTCGATTTGTTGTGTTCAAGCAGGGGAAAGTCCAAGGAGATTGCAAAACTGGTTTCTCTTGAGCTTTGTTTGGCGATTCTTGATCTCTTGTATGTTTGCGAGGACGAAATTCTACTAGCTACACCCGTTGAACTGACTGGTGCATCAATCCTGGTAAATTCGAGACCAACGAACTGTGCTGATAGTTTCTAAAAGTATGCATGATGTTTTTTAATCGAAGAATGTAAATTGCTTCGACAGATACCAATCTTGTTACTTTCAGAGCAAGTAGACATTTCTGAAACGTATTCTCACCATGTTCAAGCGAAAGCCACTAATGTCTATTGATAGGAGTACTCCAATTGTTTGGTTGCAAATGAAGGTTGCTGCGTACTTGTTGGTTGTGCCTATTACGAAGTCCAACTTTCCAATATTGACATGGTGTACGCACCTCTCATATCACTGAGCTTCACTAGGCTTCAATATATTCTTATGTAGTTTCAGGGATTTCTATTTTCGCCACCCTAGTACAACTCGCTCCTAAAAATTTGCAACAGATGCTATCAATGCTCGATGCATTTGCTGTGAATTTTTATTCGCAGCTGGCATGATTCGTAACTCCATGCAGTGGTTTACCAAATACAATGCAGTACACCTATCATCGAACACAAGCACTGGCAGCTTAAAGGAGTGCACTAGAAGAATATTGAAATGTGTTCTAGCCGGTATCAATTCTACAGAAACAGCCGACAGTGTGTTGGAACACATTTTCTGATGCACACGCAAATTAATGCGTGATCTCCATCGACATGAGCATATATGGTGATGAAATGGGAGCAAATTTACGGGAGTGAGAAGAGGAACTCGGACTCTTGGCACTGAGAGAACAAGATCATTTTGAAATCAGTATACGGATTTTAAGTTTTGCGCGAGGGAGTCCAAGTCTAAGAGCTTCAAGATGTAGCATTTTCTGATGTGCTTGCCCATTCTTCGGCGGCTGTCCATCAGAAGTAGATAATAGTTCATTTTACTTGACAAATTTTTTGAAAGCATTATTGTCAAAAGTAAAGCATATTCTGATTTGACAATATTTGTCAGCACTGCTTTCACTGGTCCGAAGATAGTTGCCCAAAGTTACAAAAGTATTGGTTGGCATTCAGGTATGATACGAGAACTGTAAATGCATGTTTTCGTCCATCAAACTGTGATGAAATAAAGAACTGTTGGAGATGAATTCTTTTTAATAATCCAACTCCAGTGAGGTTCTTGTCGACAATAATATGAAATCTACGTTGTGTGGGCAACTGCTGCATTGTAAATTTCACGGTCGATGTTGCATTGGAACCGCATTCAACAATTTCCTTCTCATTAATGTGCATCTCACCGTGCTCGGCTCAATCTTCCAGATTTGCATCTTAGTCCGCTCATGTATGGGTTGGCCGTGAAAATATACACTTCGGAAAGGTGAGGATGATCCATTGACACTCTTGCTCGCCAATTACATTGTATTTTATCATCCTCGACGAGCTGGTGAATCTATCCATACTCTCTAAAGGGATGTGGACGATCTCTCCTGGACTGAAAATGTTATGACATACGAAGGGTTTGAAACATATTTTTTGCTGTGCAACAAAGGTTCCTCTATCGAATTCTGTCCTCTCTTATTGGCATTATCACACTACTGCTTGCAGATAAGATATCTCATTTAGCAACCACTGAATTACCACAGGCACATAACACCAAGAACTAACCAAATCATCGAATACTGGTACATGGAGACGAAGTGCCAGCATTCTCAACTAGTGTCTTGCTTCAGTTGGAAATGGTGAAGAAGGTTAGGAATGTGGCGCCGGCTGGATCTAAATGCCAATTCGATATATCGGCGAAGTGAAACTGCAACTGAAACATCAGTATGTGAACTTTGTGGTCCTGGAGGAATCAGAAACAAGGGCCAGTCGGGTGCTGAAGTACGCTTTTTCTTGTCGTCTTCGAATAAAAAAGTTCCACATTATAAAATTATGTCTAAACAAGAACAGGCTAGAGAAAAGGTGAATGACCCAGTCATATTCTCCCCTTTTCCAACAGTTCTTTTCCGCACACATTTTCATAAAGCGTTGTGCGGCTCTACGGCGTGTTATTAAATCGCAAGCACGGATTCATATACTGTTGTGCGAACAATACCAGAGAGGACACTGGAGTAAAACGTGGACATTTCTATGTGGTAGTTAATGGAAGTTAATGCTGTCCACATACAGCAATCACCTTAACATCGATTTGTTCGACACCGCTGCGGAAGGAGTAGCAGCAAAGAAAAAGGGCTCGGATCTTGTGTTCGTCGCCTGTTGGTGGAGATGAACATCGGACCACTTTGTTAACCCTAGAATGAACACGGTGCACATGCTTCCATAGCCAAGGGCCAGCTGATTCGCCACAATCTAAAGCTCCTCAACCGTCACATTCGATCATCACCTTCTTCTAAAGAGGTAAGTATTCGATTCCATAAGGGCATTTCCTCAATGGCAAAGCAACTTGTGGATGTGTGCAGATCTAATGGCTTGTAAAACCTAGAAATCTTGAACACTTGCAGCAACGCCAATTGAATTTTAAACTTGCCAAGCATTCGGAAGCAAAGTCCGTTTCATTCATCCCCAACTTTATTTTTCAACAAATCAATCCGTGACTATACTTACCAATCTCATGGAGTTTTTTACAACTGCTAAAATGCTCTACAATATTTTATTGTTGCGAATACTTCATGTTATAGAAAGAAATAAATTAAGTGGCGTTAGCATGATAAGAAATATCATTCTTGGATGAAGACCACACATGGAACAACGAATCAAAATTCTCCCAATCAATGAGAAATCAGTGGAAACACGAGGCATTACAGTGCATGGTTGGGAAACAGTAATTCATTTGTAAATGGGAAGAAACAATAGTAAGTGGCCAAGAATGGGGCCAATCTGACAACATGGGTCACACGAGCCTCAGATCGGATGCAACACCTCCCGGCCCTTCCTTCGAACGGCGTCATAGCTCTCTCGATGTCGGTGTGGGTGGGCTCCACACAAATCTGCTAACGGACGCGCACATAGTCGATGGTTGTGGAGGATCGCGTCATCGTCGTCATAGTCTCCAACAAACAAACCTGGCTCTACGTCAAGCGGCGCATGCCACTGTGGGCTGCGCACCCGGGGCACGATTCATCTTCAAACCTGGGCGGAACAATCAATGCCGCTTCGACTTCTTCGACTTGCCAAGGAATTTCTTCAGCCACGTCTTGCCGTTGATGAAGTGCACCGACAGGAAGGGCTTCGCCTCCTCGGCGGTCAGCTCCCGCACCCACGCCACCCTTTCCTTGGAGTACGCTCCGGGGCCTCTACAGTTGTACTGCGCGTAGAACACCTTCTTTTGGCGGTCGGCGAAGCCGAAATCGGACCATCCGGGCGGGTAGACAATGTTGTCCATCCAGGTGTAGGAGAAAACGGTACGGGAGAAGTTCCCCCACGCTCGGCCTAGGTAGATCGGGCCTCTGCCGGTGATGGACGCGTCCACGAAGGAGAACCCCGTGTTCATGTGGCTCTCGTTCCTCTTCTGGGCCGTCACGGAGCCGAAGACTTTCGCCTCCGAGTGCAGATGGCAGTTCTGGTCCCATGCACAGGAAGTCGCACCACGATCTCCTCAATACCATGCTTCTAAGATGCCGTCGATATGTATGAAAATTCTAGAATCGCAATTGAAGAAATTCGTTCGGGAGTGTGTGTGCGCAGAGCCTGATTTCTCACCTTGTACAAACTTCGGCCGTTGCCGAAAACGAAGTCGATGGAGCCTTGTATGTAACAGTTCTCGAAGTAGTGCCTGCCCTTGTGGTCATACAACGTGTCCTGGAATCCGTAGAAGGCGCAATTGTAAAATGCCGCTCTGTCGCCCGTTATGCGCAGCGCCACTGCTTGTCGCAGTACAGCACCTGGAGGCGGTTGGGGGGCCGTGTTCTGCACGATCGGAAATAATCTCAACCTCAGAATATGAACCAACCTTGTATTAATAAGACAATGGTGCTGTGCACAAAAAGTGGGAAGGTTGCTGATGAGTTGCTGCTAGGATTAGTACCCGAAACTGAATGTTCTCAGCGATGAAATATTGGGAGCTCACTCCTACAGTGGCGCTTCTGTAAGTCTTGAGCATCTGATCATCGTCGTCAAAATCACCAGCTTGGTCGCCCCACTGGATGATGGTCTTATCCAGGCCGTCGCCCCGAAACGTGATGTATGGCTTCGATGCGTTAATCACGATCTTCTCCCTGAAGTTTCAACACGTCAATGTGCATTCCTGTTCATATCCAATCAACAAGCAATGGGACAACTAAGACTCTCCTCCGAATCAGGAAGAACGGCTTTGCTTACTCGTAGACGCCCTCCCGAATGTGTATGACGGTGCGGTGTCTTTCGTGCTCGGCTATGGAGTCGAGGGCAGCATTGATGGTGATGAAGTCGTCTTTCCCAAATTTAGAGACTGTGATTTTCCTGGACTTGCCTTTAGGCTTCGGAAACTTCACAAACATACCATTCGCTGTAGCTTCTGACTTCGTTCCGTCAGGGGTGTGGTTATCTCGCTCTGTTACAAACGAATTTTCATAATGTGAACCGGACGCTGGAGTACCATCGGTTTCGGCATCATAATCGGGGTCGGCGTCTGAGCCCGATGTCTCGGCCATAAACTTCAGCCAGGTATCCACGTTGTCATCTTCACCCGATGCGTCTGCGATGACAGCAGCGAAAGTAAAGGCCACCAGGAGCAACAGAAGCATCAATTTCCTGCGAAGCAACCCCATGCTCGCCAACCTGCCCAAATGACAAAGGTGGACCTTCAAGTCAGTAGACGTTTGAACATTAACAATTTCGATCGTAAAACTGAAATTCTAACGTCCACAATAGATTTCGAAAAATCACTGTCTCTCACGAAGTCGTTGGTTTAGAACCAATCTCTCCCATTGACGAAAGTGGGCTTACAATACAAACCATGAGCTGATAGTCGGCTGTAACATTAGTAGTCCATCTCGCCAAGTCACTAAAAGTCAAGATGACGAGACATCGAGTTTCAATGTGGCTACTATACAAACGTGTCGAGCACAACCTCTCACTACATCCAGTCATCTGGGTTCAACGTAGAGTCGTCAATCTCATCTACGTTCAATAGCAATGAGGATGATGGCAAAAAAATCCCGAAGTGCTGCAGCATTCCTGATGAGAGACCTCATGGAGAGCTTTGGACACAGGACGAGGATGGATACACAAGCAATGTAGCTTGGAGACACAGGACACGGCTGACTAGTGACAGCGTCACATTGTATTCATACCTGAGCTGATACAATCGGGACAAGGAAAATAAAAAGCCAGAATAGCGCGAAGTGTATCTCACTGGGAAAAGCTCCGGGGTTCTTCCTTCAGCTGAAAGAAGAGCTCCAAGAACACCAGCTGCGATGTCACAGGGGAGATCATGAACCAGGGCGGCAAGAGGAGGCTTTTAAGTGTCTTCCATCGAAGGTGGACCAGTGCGATGGGGATGCTGTAAAGTAAACAGGAGGGATTTTATGTCCACAATAAAAGAAGAAAAATCGAAGAAGAAGAAGAAGAAGAAGAAGAAGAAATACACTTCATAAATGCATGGATTGTAACTCTCGGTCCCCCCAGAATTTCTGGCAAACGGCAGGAATCCAAAATGAAGTCGCTGCAGCGCTCGGGTACTATTCACCGCGTATGCATGTATTTTCATATGGCCAAACCCAATTATTGGACCCAGACTTCTACTCTAGATGACTCACGCCTCAGCCCAAACGCTTCACAGGCTACAGTTTTCGTCCAGATTGTCTCACAGCTAAGCTGCACGAAGTACTGCATCAGCCCATGTGGACCGAACTCCCCCTCATGAAATCCACATCACTAGGCCTCCACGTCGAAGAAAACTCCATGCTTGTCAATTTCCTCAGCGATCGTGAGCGCAGGTAAAACGACCCAGGTGAAATATTTCACTTCGCTGCGTTGTGGTAACGTTAGGGGCACGTCACAGTGAATGACAGGAAGAGGTCTAGGAAGGTGCTGCTGAGGGAGAAGTAACGCAGCGCATGTGCAGAGGGCATAATAGATCAAGCCGGGGTCAAGGACAGAACGGCCAGCTGGATGTGGAGAGGGCTGGTGGAGGTGAGCAGGATTGCTCATTGACGTGATGAGCATTATCTTGGTGCTCTGGGCTGGATGATTGCTGCCCCCCAGCACCGTTTTGGCATGGTGGCTTGGCCTGTGCAGGACAGGGCTTCACTCTGTCACCCCCTCTGTCACTCTTGCCCTGTAATCTCTCTCGCCGCACCTCTGTATGTGTGTGTGTAGAGCAGGGAGGGGTTCAGAGGGACGATCCATGCTCCCAGAATGCATCGCCCTTTCGTTGTTGCATTACCCATTGCACTGAACTACCAAAGTCTTCCTCACTTCTATGTGTGACTTCCACAGTTGGTTTTGCAGTTTCCTTCCTAGACCGCTTTTCAACTACTGTGTTGCTTGATGTTTTGCACTTGTGCATAATTACCCGTATTCTCAACCTCCATGGATGGATACTATGCTACAGACAAGACCATTTGTCAATAAATGTTTCTACGTTTTGTAAGATAAACATGTGTTGGAGAATCTATTCAATGCAGCTGTAGTTGTTTAGGATATCTAAGAGGTCTCATTTTTAAACTGTGGATGTTGGCAATAAGTTAGTTTTAACCCCCATATCTATTTATTTATTTATTATTTATTTTGCACTGTATTGTTTTGATCTATTGTATTCATCCTCGGATTATTCTCATCACATGTCTTAACTTAAGCAAGCACATTGAAAATAATTGGACTTGGAAAAATTTGGAAATAAAATATCTACTAAAAATAACTACTAAAACTATCTACTAAAATATCTATTAAAATCTGCACATAAAATATCTACTAAAAATATTTGTCATCCTTGATATTTTATTTGTGAATAGTTAATTAGTAACTTGAGTTTTTTCAAAAACTTATCAAAGACTTATACAATTAAATATTGGAAAGATATTAACAATTTGTAATGAAGTGAGATGGTGATTATGAAAAAAGTTTTAAATAATTTGCAACCTGCAATTGCAATAGTATGAATTGAAAGTTTTGTATGAGTTAGATACACAGAAGTAGAATATTGAAAACTTCGAACTTCATATAACTAATATATATATATATATATATATAATATATTTTTTTTAACCATTGAAAATATGATTCCAAGGAGAAATGTTTGATGGCTGCCGAGCCTTCAATTACAACAAAAATAGAATGTTCTATGTACTAAAATATCAAATGGATCTCTGATTCCAGTTCTATGGAATCCAACTATTCCACAACAAAACCTACAAGTTGCTAGCCTATAGAAGCTCCCCTCAATTATTTGGTCCACCACATATTTTTTCATTCAAAGTGTTCATCACATTTTCATACTGTTTGATTGGATTTTTTAGATAATCTCATGCCTAAATAAAATCAAGAATGAAATATATTAATTAATATTTTTAATAAATATATGAAGAATCAAGAATTGATTTTAAAGATAATTCAAAATATACATACAAACCTTTCTTCAAGCTTCCAATTTCAATCTTGTAACAAAACTTAAAAAGGGACGAGATGCATTGATAAATAAATAATGAACTTGTTACTGAAGAGGAAAATTAGAGTGATTTTGCTATAAGTGTCACCAATTATGGGATTCAAACCTATGACCACGTGATTAAAAGCCACAAGCTCTACCAACATAGTTGAAATGTGCTAAAATGGCTTGTATTTAAAGTAAATAAAAATTATAGTAGATTAAAAAAATCTTCATTAGCATGCGGAACATGTTAGGTGAAGGATTTTTAGTTCAAAACCTATGTATCCCATCCCACAGTTGTGCAAGTATTGCATGGGTTCGTACTTTATTGGATCAGAATATCCAAGCTTTCGAAGGATATTGTCCACATTTCTATCTTGTTGAGTCTAAATATCCGGATTTTTGCTAGATGTTGTTCTAATTCATATTTGGCGATTGGTCACTTGATTCTAAAAATTTGGATTTCTTTTGGCTATGTACGATATGTCATTTGTGTATATTGGAATGTACCTAGGATTTTTATTTGGCTTGTCTTGTGAGGACTAGTCTCCCTCTGAGTGTTCAATGTCGTACATAATCTATGCTAAGATGTCCTTTGCCATCATCTACACAAATTATTCTTTGGCATCTTTAGCTTGTGGTAGGAAGTTGGGGTGTATCTAGGCCCCTAGCTATCTAGTGGGTGTAGTTTGTTCTGTACTTCATTAAGGTAAGGCTTCATTTTTTGATTCTTCTTGTCATTGTGTTTATTTTGTAGTAGATATTAGATGGTCTAGAATCAATTAGTTAGATTCCTGGAGAAAAAGTTAGAGTGGAGGATTGATTTCTATTTAGAAAGGTGTATGGCCTCATTGAATATATTTTCCTACACTCATATTGTTGTGAATTTGGATTCTACTCTGCCATGGCTCTGAAATGAGTAGTAATGTTCGTAATTGTGTAGCTCTATCCATGCATCCATGGCTATTTGGACTATAATCTATCATACTTGATAAAATGCCATCTTGAGGTGGAATTGCCCTTCTTTGAGATTGTATTCATATTTCTAGCACCATATATACTAGATGATAGTATATTATAGGATATTCTATGGTATGTTCTTGGTGATGGAGCATGGGCTATCCACGTTCAAAAATGTAGAGTAATCTTATGTGTTTGTATGGTTGGCTAATAAAATTGGCCAGATATTATGCAGTGTGGCCTTCCACATGATATTGGAGGTAGTGGGATCCAAGAGTCTCTTGATAGTTGTATATTTTTCTCAAGCTAGTGCAACCTATGGACATGCAAAGAATGTGTATTCTTTTGTCTTCTAGATCTGATTGGTATACATGTTGTAGTAGCCATCTTGCTATATTTTGTACCTCTATTTCCTAATAGAAAGGCCATTCATGATCAAGAACCATACTATGGTGGAGATCTTGTAGAAGAGCCATGAGTGCCATAATTTGGCAAAATATTATATTTATTTGGCTAAGGAGTAGCCTCAGCTTGCCATCATCCTATTGAATTCTAACTACCTATATTACTACGTTAAGATGATTTTTTACCTTCTCTTTGTAGTGTAATTAAAAAATTATTTAGTCGACATTCAGCCTTGATTGTACCACATCCATTTCTTTGAATTGATTTCAAGGCCTTTTGTGAGGCCTTCTCCTAACATCCATATTGTGCAAGTCCTGTCCAAAGGAGCTAGTTGTCACGGCCATAATCATGTAAGCTAAGAATTACATATAGAAATAGGTAGAAGTAAGTAAAAGTAGATAAAAGTAAGTTAATTCTATAATATTTAATATAGAAGCTTCCTAGAAACTTCTTAGACGCTGCTTTGACTTCATAGGTGTCTTTAATTGACTTTTTGGATTAGAAACGTGGTCAACAAGTTGGCCATGTGCCACACATGTTGTTAGCTTGAAGATCAAGCTAACTATGTGGCCCACACGTAGAAAAACTTGCCTTGTAAGTCAAGGCATGTGTCCTACAAAGTCAACACATATTGGAGGTCCTATAGAACGTTGCCACGTAGCCCCTAGTTAGAGAGTATATATAGAGACAAGAGTGAAGGCTTCTTCACTCTTGTCAACTCCTTTCTTGCTTCTAGTCCAGGTTCAAGAGTCTTTAGTTTCTTGTCTTGTGGCAATAGCCATTCCAGTTTCCTTTTAATATACCTACTTGTTTATATTTTGACTTATTATATCGAGATAGCCTTTTTGTGTATATTTTCCCTCATCGAGTCTTTGTCCTTGACAGATTGACAAGACTACACTTACAATATCAGAGCCTCGTTTTTTCTTGAGTAAGAGTGGATTACCCCTTTCTCTTGACAAGACATAAGCGTATTAGAAGTTTGTGGATTACCCACTTCTAAACTGATATTGTTCTTAGTATCTTCTTTGTTATCAAGCCTTTCTTTTTTTTTGTCTTGAGCAATATCAAACAAATTTTTCTTCTTAGTGTCATTATGGCAGAGCTTGTTAAAATGAAGAGTGCAATGGCACAAATGCAAGAGCAAATGAGGGAGTTAATGCTTGCGATGCATCAACTCAATTCACCAACACAAGAAAGAACAAGAATAGCAGAAAGTGGGGATATAGAGATGATCGGAGCTGCTTCAACATCTACAACAAATCACGTTCTTTCTCCAATTGTACAACACCCTATAAGCACTAGAGAACCAAGAATTGCCTTACTTGAGAAATTTGATGGTACGAGATCAAAGTTTCGAGGGTTCATCAATCAAGTACAATTGGCAATTGAACTTCAACCGCAAAGCTATCCAACTCCAGGATCACAAGTCAGGTTTATTGGTACTCTACTTTCAGGTTCTGCATTATCGTGGTTTTCGTCTTTTCTTGAACAACAAAATCCAATATTGGACAATTTGGAAGCTTTTTTGGTGGAGTTTCGATCTATGTATGGTGAACACGATGCAACTCATGTTGCAACAAATAAGATCCGAATTCTGCGATAAGAAAATCGCTCAGTAACAGTGTATGCTTCACAATTTTGACAACTTGCAATTGACATCAAGTGGGATGATGCTGCACTCATCAGTCAATTTCTTTATGGATTGCAATACGAAGTAAAGA